TCCGTCCCCCTCCCTCCCCCCCACCCGTCGCCCCATCGAACTGCCCTCATTTCTCCCATCTCTGCTCGTTTTGGGTTCTAACGAAGAGGATTTGGGGTTCGCGGGGAGGGGCGCGGGGGTCGCGATGGGAGCCGCTTTGTTTTTGCAGCTTCGAGGGAGAAAGCCGGGGGGGGGGGAGGGAAAAACGGGGCAAAAATAAAGGATCCTCTCTCTGCCTTCACCCCGCGTTCCCTAAAAGCCCGAAGCTCCTTTAGCAGGTTGGATATTTCCCCCAAACATCCCCCTTTTTATTATTATTTTTTTAACATTTTCTTTTATTTCTACATCTAATGAATGAGAAACACGGTTCCAAACCGAGGTCGGCTCTTCGTCCCCCCGCTTCCCCCCGCTGCTTTTGTCGTTCCCTTTAGCGAAGGACGCAGCTTTTTTTAATTATCCACTTTCATTCCCAACCCGCCTTCGGTTTCTGCGCCGCGATGGCATCGTGGTGCCGCGCACAGGAATTCCTCGTGGGGGGAAAGCGGGGGTCGAGGGGCTCCGAGGGGGCTGCGGCCGCAGGTTCTCTCCCATCTCCCCTCTCTGTGTCTCTTTCTCTCTGTTTCCCTTCAGGAAATTACAAACGGGGGGGGGAGAGAGAGCAAAAAAAAAAACAACCCCAAAACCCACCACCAAACCACCCCCAACCCGGGTTGCACCACTGCGCATCACGCAGGAAGCTTTTGCAAACTGAAAGTTGCCCGTTTTGTTCGGATTTTATTGCGTCTAAATGGAGATAAACACGTATAGATTTTTCCTGGTGGAGGCAGAGCGAAGAAAGTTACTTTTCTCCCCAATTTATCCGCTCTCTTCTTTTGTGTGCGCAACGCGATGGGCGCTCAAGTTGATGTTTGCTTTTAAATTGCACCATTTCCGAGCAGGGTTTGGTGCTTTCAATGCGACGGGATCGAAACCTTCGCGGTTCCGTCCTCAGCATTTCCCCCTTTGTGGGGTATTTCACAAATTGAGCGTCGAGCTCTATAGATTTTATCTTTTTAAAGCATTTTTTTTCGGCGTTTTGTAGCGCTGGCGGGTGAAGTTTGATGGCGGCTGAGAGCGATGGAGAATAAAGAAATAAAAAGAGCGATGGCCGAGAATTTCAAGATCATTACGGTTAGAAAGAGACGGGTTCAGAGTCATTTTCAAGGGAAACAAAAAGAAAACGCCACAAAGAAGAAAACGTCACCTTCCGTGTGGAAAAAGGGGGAGGGGGGGGGAGGCAAAAATAGAAAGAAGAAGAAGAAAAAAAGAGGAGAGGAGGGAAAAAAAAAAGAGGAAAAAAGGAGAATTAGAAGAAAGGAATGGGGGAAAAAGGGGGGGAGGGGGAAGGGGAAAAGGGATGAAGGGGGGGGGGGGAGGAAAGGGAGCAAAATCGCGGAGGGGGAAAAAAAAAAGTTCATTGTAAGGCAGAAAGTGGAACTTGACCGTTTGGGTGATTTGTAACGGTTCCGAGCGGAGTCCCACCGAAATATTCTCACGTCTGCAAAACCCGTTTTCCCAAAGATTACCGAAAGAGGGGCCGTAAAAGCCCCCCAACCCCCCCCCCTTCCCCACCACCACCACCCAGGCTTTGCGTTAGGAGGACTTGAGGGTCTCCCCTCCGCCCCAGTGCCACCAATTCCCGTCTCTTAGGCCGAGAAAAGCCTCCCAGTGCGCTCCCCGATTTCGCGTGCTCTCTTTCTGCTGCACACTAAAAGCTTTTCGTCGGCTGCAGACGCCATTTGGTTCCCCTGGAAAGCTATTTGCGACTTTATTGCCTCTATTTGTGTTATCTGCATAGGTCTTTTTAAAACAGTTTGATAGAAATCGTTCGGTTTTATGATATCCAACGAAAATTCCACATAATATTTATAAGCAAAGGATAAAACTTTAGTGTGGGAGCCAATATTTTCTCATTTATAGGTGATGAAATTAAAGACCAATGCAATTTTGTGTTATATTGCTTTTTTCCACCCCCCCCACCCCCCCCTTCACCCCCCT